TGAAAAAGACCGACGGCGGTCACTCCGGGCGGACGGCGGCTCCCGCCTGCCGGGTGCCTTCTGTGAAAGGGTGACAGTCGTGTAAGCAGAACTGTACCAGCTTCTCTTATAGTTATGTTGTTTTCGAGCAGCTTCCCGATCACTAAACCCCGCTAACGCGTGCCGAACTTTTAAAAGGTGTCTACCAACTTGGAAAACCTTGAACTCCAAGGAATTTCGGATCATCTGGGAAAGTCAGGAAATCATTCAAAAATTGGGCTAAATAGGGGAAGACGACTAGGGAAAGCGGCATGGCGGTTGCTCGTCGGCACGGCCATGCTGAATGACATTGCCGAAATGTCATCCTTCGACTCAATAACTCAAAGAATTTGATCAAATTTGTGAGAGAAAAACCTGGAAAGGTCGGGGAATTTGAAATCAGTAATTTGCTAGACACAAGGTTTGATTTTCTTGACACTCCTCTCGTTTTTATACAGGACAGGCACACGCCCGTGTATCACATGGCGGCCAGGCCAAGCGGCTGGCAGCCACCTATTCAAGTTCGATAAGACGCAAGCGTGGAACGCTTTCGGACAGCTGCAAATACACCAGCGGGAGCGTCCGGCCGCAGTCTGACTGCCCACGCTGGGACATCCCACGCAGACACCGCGTCCTGGGTACGTCTGACGTATCTTTAGATTTTGCGTCCCAGGTACGTCAGACGTATCTTTAGAGACTTTGCGTCCCAGGTACGTCAGACGTATCTTTAGAGGCAGCGCCTGATAATTGTAGTGAATAGGGTCACGTTCAGTGTGCAAGTCACTTTATTACACTCGGAGAGCAGAATTCCATTACCGTTGCGCAGGTAGTTCCCCAGCTCGGCATGCACTTGAAGACTACGTTGCACTCTTTCATGAAGCAAGCTCTGCAGGACCCCACCGCCCTTGTGCGCCCATTCGCAGGTCGTGTCCCTTTTGCTCACGTAACTCCCGCAGGTCCAGCGAGTTGCCGAGCCGCTGCAGCCCCGGCGTCGCTCGGTCCAAACAAGAAGGGGCTCACGTTGGTCGTCCGGCAGCACACTGGAGGGACGCAAAGCTCGCAGCCTCCATGGTGCACGCAAGACGAGGCTGAGCAGAGCTCCAAGCTCTTCTGACGCACATGTGCACTCCTATGAGACAGGTGTCGCACCCCGATTCCTAGAGATGTGGTCGCACTGGCAGTCTTGTTGGTGCTTGGGGTCCGTCGAGAAGGGCCGGAAAGCAGAATTCCGTCCCTGTTGCGCAGGTCACTTCCTTGATTCCATCCCCAGCTAGTCACTTCCTTGAAGACGATGTCGCACTGTCTCTGGAAGCAAGCTTCGGGGGGCTCTTGTGCACCCATTCGCAGGTCGTGTCGCCTTTGCTCACGTAACTCCCGCAGGTTCAGCGAGTTGCCGAGCCGCTGCAGCCGCGGCGTCGCTCGGTCCAAACAAGAAGGGCTCACGTTTTTCGTCCGGCAGCACACTGGAGGGACGCAAAGCTCGCAGCCTCCTTGGTGCACGCAAGACGAGGCTGAGCAGAGCTCCAAGATCTTCTGACGCACATGTTCACTCCTATGTGACAGGTGTTGCACTCCGATTCCTAGAGATGTGGTCGCACTGGCAGTCTTGTCGGTACTTGGGGGCCGTCGACGAGTGCCAGAAAGCAAAATTCCATCCTTGTTGCGCAGGTAGTTCCCCAGCTAGTCACTTCTTTGAAGACGACGTCGCACTCTCTCTGAAAGCAAGCTTCGGGGGGCTCTTGTGCACCCATTCGCAGGTCGTGTCGCCTTTGCTCACGTAGCTCCCGCAGGTGGCAGGGCAGCGAGTCTACGCATGAGCCCCATTCGTCCCCCAATCGAGGGTCATAAATGAGCTCTATAAGCAAACCTTGCCATGTTGCTTGTCCATTTCTGGCTCCAATCTTGGCACTCTTTGCTGTTAAGTCATCGTCTCTAGTGATTATGTTACATGGAGCCTGCAGAGTTGTTTTGGGTGCAGTTTTCACGACAAAGCTGACACTTGAGTGAAAATGCCTTGGTGCTGCAATGGATCCGTGATCTTATCAATGTCCGCGAAAGATTACCAACTTCGTCAACAACTGTCGGATTGTGCGACCTCTTTGTCCGGTACTCTGCTGAGGGCACATGTGGTGGATTCGCAGCTTGAAGAAGTATTCCAGCATTGTCTTGACCATAATTGCGCAATGGGACTGGTTGTCGATTGTCTTTGCCAAGAAGAGGTGGTCAACCTCTTAAACAGCGGGGTCATGAAGATGATGGCCATTGCCTTGATGATGGCCAAGCGTGTTCAGCTTCCTAATCCTGGCCGTCTTCCGATTGATCTTCTTCTTTGCCTGTTTCAACAGTTTCCTCGCCTTCTGCAGCTTGTGCCTACTCTTGGCCAGGACCGTGTGCAGTCGTGGTGGCATAGCTGCGTACGAGTGGTCACCGGAGGAAGTGTTGCGTCGCATGAACACAGCTTCAGGGAAGTGTCAGACTTCGTAGCCTGAGAGGGGGAACTAACCAGCTCTAGACTGCTTCCAGAAGCAGTGGCAGCTTGGGCCTCTCCTGGGGTTGGCTGATCAGTCGTCGATCCAGGCTGCCTCTCTGGAGGGTGAGACCTGTCAGCAGAACAACGAGCGGTGACATTCAAGACTGCCTGTATTCCACAAGACTGTGTGCCAGGGCATGCATTCTTGGCAGGTTTTACAGTGCAGTGTGATATGTGACCACAGCTTTTATTCGTGAGCCAGAAGTGGCACTGACCCACAAAAAGGTGGTGCTGGGAATTCTGGCTTATGAGTAGGGTTCCATGCATTTGGTATTTTTAATTTGTGAGCATTACCTGGCTCAGTGAGCGAAAAAAAAGCCATGATCGAAGGGTGCAGCCAAAAGCCGTAACCAAACGTTGTGTTCAAAGGCTGTGACCAATGCAACGCAATCCAAGGGAAAAGAAAAACTAAAGGAAATACAAGAAAAAGAAACATCTCTGCTCACGCTATTGTTTTGGTCACGTGACTTATTAATCATGTAATCAAACAAAAAATAAACCGAGAAATTAATTATCCCCTGCCCGGTTTAGAACCTAGCTAGGCTCTCATAATCGTAAAACTAGTGTGCTATTTGTTGCGTCAACCTAGCTCATTGACGTCAATATAACTCGGCCAAAGGTAATGCTCACGCATTCTCACATCATGGAAGAAAGCTGAGGTGCCCTCATAGTTTTATTTTTATTTTTAAAATGGGGGGGGGGGGGTGATTTTTTGGTGCTTATTTGTTCTTTCGAATTTTGAGTTTTTCGGTGTCTATTTTTGATATCGACCAAAAATCGGGGTTTAACGGTGCTTATGTGTTCGGAGAAAGAGCAGACGATTTTTATGACGCGATCAAATTTTTTGTAGGGCTGAAGCACGCTCAACGAGGACGCTGAACAACGTCGCTTCCGCGCCTTCTGAATTTCGTTTACAATCCCCAATACCCTTGAATTGTGTTTTTTTCTGCGGTAAAAATGGATTTTTACAAATAATCTGAACTGTTCAAACCATTTGATTACCGTTGTATTTACGGTCCGTAAACATAGCAGACGACTTTTGGCGCGCGTCTTTTCGGTTCAGATTTCGACGGCTCGTCTTGCTCCGCCACTTTGCTAACCGAGAAAAATAGTCAAACGAACCTAAAAACAAGACCATGCCGACTACCTGCGCCGATATTGGTTGTGCCAACAGGGGTAGCCAGGACTTGGGGATCTCGTATCATAGGTAAGTTTCTTAGCTCTTGAAGTCAACCTGGTCACACCGTTCGTTTTGCTGGCCATGCAAACATGTTGAGACTGTTTGACGTGGCATGCATATCTCTTCCGTCCCCTCGCGCTCTAGACGATCAGTGGCTCGCCTTCCCGCGCACATATATAGTGCTCTACAAGGAAAGCAGATTGTAAGCTGATCTCACTGCCAAAACTTCACTTAGATTCATGCCTCCCGCAGAAGGAAATGTGGTTCCCTACAAAAGTATGGCATTCTTATTGCTAGTTTCCGAGAGCAGGCCGATTTGAATAAATGAGCACATACCTTAACCTACTGTTCTTCAGAGTGACTCAAAGAGGTGGTCAGTCTGCAAGATACCAGATTCTTGTTCATTTATGCACTTGGATTGTGCCTAAAACAGTCTTCACCAGATGGCTTGGTACATTTCTCTTTGCATGCAAAAAAAAAAAAAAAAGGTTTCACAATTGCTTTTTTATACCATCACAGGTTCCCACTGAATGATCCGGAACTCATCAAGGCATGGATGGAGAAGCTGCCCTGCCGGGACTGGAAGCTCAGTAGATGGTCCAAGTTGCGCTCACTGCACTTTGCGGACAACTGCCTCTACCAACTGAACAATAAGATGTACCTCAGGCAAGGAAGTGTGCCAACGGTGTTCAGCTCTCCAGCAAGCAAGGCAAAATGGTCACCTCGGAAGCGATCAAAATCGCAGTCTGGCGAGGCCTTTCTTTTGTGCCAGCGAGCGAAGCACGCATAGGTATGAATAGACCAAGTTTCATTGTAGCAGATCACACTTCTTCCGGTGACCACTCGTACGCAGCTGTGTCACAACGACTGCACAGGGTCCTGGCCACGAGTAGGCACAAGCTACAGACGGCGAGGAAACTGTTGAAACAGGCAAAGAAGAAGATCAATCGGAAGACGGCCAGGATTAGGAAGCTGAACACGCTGCTCCGTGAACTGAAGACACGACTTCCTAAGCCAGCAGTTGACATACTTGACAATTCATTCACCAACACAATGCGCAACCTCGTCTTAAAAAGAGTCAGGCACAACAAAAACGCATGTGCAGAGGATGTGCGCAAGGTTTCCCTCACGCTCCATTTTTACTTGGCAAAGGCATACAGCTTTCTGCGAAAGCACGTCAAGCTACCACACCCAAGCACTCTGCGGAAATGGGCGGCGGTGGTTGATGCACGACCAGGATTCACCCAGCAGTCGTTTGACAAAGTTGCACAGGAAGCCAAGAAGGGACCTCTTTTCGTCAGCCTGATGGTCGATGGGATGGGAATAAAAAGACAAACAGACTGGGATGGTAAAGAAGTCGTCGAGTACTGTGACCTGGGTCACGGCATCATCCGCAACGACTGCCTCACCTTTGCAAAGCACGCACTTGTATTTCTGGCGGTGGCAGTGAACCGAAACTGGAAGATCCCCCTGGGCTACACCCTCATCGATGGTCTGGACGGCAACGCTCGCGCCAACCTGGTACAGGAGTACATCATTAAACTGAAGGATGCTGGAGCAAGGTGTATAAGTGTGACCTGTGACGGGACAAACTGCAACATTACCATGCTCACAGCGCTCGGAGTGCGCTTTGCACAGCCGATGAAGAGCTGGTTCACGCATCCATCGGACCCCACCAGCAGGGTCCACGCTGTCTTGGACGCCTGCCATATCCTAAAGCTCACGCGAAACCTGCTGGCCGAGAAAGGGTGCATCAGAGATGAGGCAGGTAGGGTCGTGGCCTGGCGGTAGCTTGCGGCCTTGGACAACCTCCAGCAGTGAGAAGGCCTTCATGCAGCCAACAAGCTCCGAAAGCAGCACATTGACTTCGAGAGACAGAAGATGAAGGTGTCACTGGCAGCCCAAACCTTCAGCCGGTCCGTCAGCTGCGCCTTGCTGTTTTGCAAGGAGAAGGGTATCCAAGGCTTCGAGGGTGCTGAGGCGACTGCCAAGTTTGCCGCAGCAGTCGATGATATATTAGACCTGACGAACTCATGTCATCCACTTGGTCGTGGAAGCAAATGTCCCATTCTTGCCAGCAACCAAGTCACCATCCTGGAAAGGATTGAGCAAGCTACACGCTACCTTCGAGCCCGGAAAGACGTAACGGGCAAGCCGTTGAGCCATGGGGCAAAGAAGACTGTAGTCCTCGGTTTCCTACTTGTCCTTAATTCCATCAAAGGTCTGGCAGAAGACCTGGTCTGGAGCCCCAGTCCGCCACTCAGGTGCCTGCTGACGCGAAAGCTCAGTCAGGACCACTTTGAGCTGTTTTTTGCCACTGTACGCAGCAGGACGGGTAACAACAACAACCCCACAGCGCTAGACTTTCGGTCAGCATACAGAAAGTGCTTGCTCGCCAACGTCCTGCCTTCCACTTGCGGCAACTGCCAGGTCGACGGCACCGAGACGCTTCTCGTAAGCTCGTCGGCGCAGCACCAGCAAGATCAGAGAAGGGCTGAGGATGCAAGAGGCGAAGAGGCCAGCAGTACTGTCTCCTACAAGCCGCTTTCAGAATTCGCCGAATGTGTTGTAGAGTACATTGCTGGAAACGTGGTAGTCAACATTGCAAAAATGACCAAGTGCCCAGAGTGCTCTAAGATCGCACTTCTTACAAGAGCCAAGTGCGACCTTATACTGATCAAGGATGCTGGTGGGCTCCACAGCTCCTCACAGGACATCCTGGGCTTGCGCAAGATAGCGGATAAGGTGCTTCGTAGGCACTTTGACAAGGCGGCCGAAAGAGGTCGAAACTGGCTACAAAGACTGCAGACAGAGGCAATGGCCGTCATTTTCGTGACCCGGCTGTTTAAGAGGTTTGACCACCTCTTCTTGACATATACAATCGACAACCAGTCCCACTGCGCAATTATGGTCAAGACAATGCTGGAATACTTCTTCAAGACGCGAATCCGCCACATGTGCCGTCAGCAGAGTGCCGCAGAAAGAGGTCGCACCGTCCGACAGTTCTTGACGAAGTTGGTAATCTCTCACGGACATTGATAGGGTCACGGCTCCACTGCAGCACTAAGGCGTTTTCACTCAAGTGTCAGCTCTGTCGAGAAAACTGCACCGAAATCAGCTCTGCAGGCTCCATGCAACCTAATCACTAGAGCCGATGACTTAACGAGCAAAGAGTGCCAAGAATGGAGCCAGAGATGGACAAGCAGCATGGCAAGGTTGGTTTATAGAGCTCATATGACCCTTGATTGGGGGATAAATGGGGCTCATGTGTGGACTCGCTGTCCTGCCACCTGCGGGAGCTACGTGAGCAAAGGCGACACGACCTGCGAATGGGTGCAGAAGAGCCCCCCGAAGCTTGCTTCCAGAGAGAGTGCAACGTCGTCTTCAAGGAAGTGACTATCTGAGAAACTACCTGCGCAACAGGGATGGAATTCTGCTTTCCGGCACTCCTCAACGGCCCCCAAGGACCATCAAGACTGCCAGTGCGACCACATCTCTAGGAATCGGGGTGCGACACCTGTCTCATAGGAGTGCACATGTGCGTCAGAAAAATTGGGAGCTCTGCTCAGCCCCGTCTTGCGTGCACCTTGGAGGCTGCGAGCTTTGCGTCCCTCCAGTGGACATGATTAAAGTAGCGCAAATTTGACAAGGACAAAAAGAAGGCACACGTAGAACAGGACTGGCGCTTACTTCCAACTAAGTTTATTTCCCTCCAGTGTGCTGCCGGACGACCAACGTGAGCCTCTTCTTCTTTGGACCGAGCGACGCCGGGGCTGCAGTGGCTCGGCAACTCGCTGGACCTGAGGGGGTTACGTGAGCAAAGACGACACGACCTGCGAATGGGTGCACAAGGGCGGAGGGGTCCCGCAAAGCTTGGTTCATGAAAGAGTGCAACGTATAGTCTTCAAGTGCATGCCTAGCTGGGGAACTACCGGCGCAACGGGAATGGAATTCTGCTCTCCGAGTGTAATAAAGTAACTTGCGCACTAAACGTGACCCTATTCACTACTATTATCAGGCGCTGTGTCTAAAGATACGTCTGACGTACCTGGAACGCAAAATCTAAAGATGCGTCAGACGTACCCACGACGCGGAGCTGTGTCGGATGTCCTAGCGTGGACAGTCGGACTGCGGCCGGACGCTCCCGCTGCTGTATTTGCAACAGTCCGAAAGCGTTCCACGCTTGCGTCTTATCGAACTTGCATAAGTTGCTGGCAGCCGCTTGGCCTGGCCGCCGTGTGATACGCGGGCCTGTGCCTGTCGTAAAAACGCGTGGAGTGTCAAGAAAATCAAACATTGTGTGTAGCAAATTACTGATTTCAAATTCCTCGACTTTTCCAGGTTTTTCCCTGACTATTTTGATCAAATTCCTTGAGTTTTTGAGTCGAAGGATGACATTTTGGCAATGTCACTCAGCATGGCCGTGCTGACGAGCAACCGCCATGCCGCTTTCACTAGTCGTCTTCCCTTATTTAGCCCACTTTTTGAATAATTCCCCGACTTTTCCAGATGATCCGAAATTCCTTGGGCATTCAAGGTTTTCCAGGTTGGTAGAGACCTTTTGAAAGTTCGGCATGCGTTTGCGGGTGTAGTGATCGGGAAGCTGCTCGAAAACAACATAACTATAAGAGAAGCTGGTACAGTTCTGCTTACACAACTGTCACCCCTTCACAGAAGGCACCCGGCAGGCGGGAGCCGCCGTCCGCCCGGAGTGACCGCCGTCGGTCTTTTTCACGTCACTACGGATCACGCAGTGACGTGGTCCGTAAATAGCTCAGCACCGAGCAGTTCGGAGATTTTAACACTTCTCTTGGCGCCTCAAATGCGAATCTTGACCGTCGAGCTAAGCAAATTGCCCGGGCACGTCCGCCGTACCGTTAGAACCCCGCGTTCTGGTTACGTCCTACGTACCTTTAGACTCCGCATTCCGGATGCGTTCAACGTATCCTTAGACACAGCGATTATCGAGGAGCTCCCGTGGTTAACGGTTGCGGATATTTTAATTAAACTCGAGCGACCGAGCGATGTCCGAAGCAGCACCGGTCGGTAGTGATCCGAGCCCGTACGAGAAGCACGGGACCGAATCTGGCTCACCCTAAATAAAAAAAAAAAAAAAAAAAAAAAAAAAGAAGCGCCTCATATTCCTCGTACTTCACGTTATTCCTACGCGAGCGAGCACACAAAATCATGAAAAACCGAATTCCGCACACGAAATCCACACACTTCGATCAACGCCCACAACGCTTCCGACACGCACTGGGCGCTGCCATCTTTTCGTTGACGCCAGAGATTTGGTCTGGTTACGCCACAGATTTGGCCTGGGCACGTGTCTAGTGGTAAAAATTGTACAACATGGCGGCGGCCAATCGGGGGTCACTTTTCCCTGATGAACGGTATAGTAGTTTATCACTCTAAGGCCCTGTTTTAAACGAAATCTCCGAAAAAAAATTTGACAATAAAATATCAAAAAGCACGGGGAAACAAAACTATGCTCTGCAAGTTTATGTGCACTGGCTACACTTAACCGTCGCAGTTCAAATACCAATAAAATATGGCATTAAACAAAAGAAAATATGTTAAATTGAATGCGCCACCCGTTCAGGTCGCCCGGCCGAGCCGACGTGGCCTGTTCCCAGCCGCCAGGTTTGTTTGGTGGTGGCGCCCCCTATAGGTCGCTGGAGTTGCGAATAAGAAAATATCGAGGGAATTAAAAATGCGGGCTGGCCCAATACCACCTAGAAGACAAGACCTGCGCATGACGTTTCGTTAGTACATCCCCGACCCGCCCTAAGCGGCAAACACCCCGAAGCTTGACGAGAGTAGGGGCCGTGTCACAACGGCTGCTTTCCAAATTTTATCCAAATGGATCCGAGTTACTCCGGCGAGTCGTGTCACGTGACAACACAGATTGAAAAACGCTGGACGCGGGTAGGTTTTAAGCCTAGACCGCATGGAGCGTTTTTCTGCACGCGAAAGCGCGACGCGCTCTGAACGCTCGCGCGGAAACTGACGCGGGGGCACCCGCATGCACCCAGAGTCAAGCGCCGCCAGCCGCGCGTTATCAGCGTTGCCAGATAACAGAATTCTCAACACGTAATGTAAATGTTGACGCTAATACTACAAAATGAGGATTAAATAAGCAAAGAACTAAATAAAACGGGTTTGTGTGTCAAAAGAAACACCTTTTCAATTTTTATATGAAAAATAAAAATGCTTTTGAATACTTTGAAATGTGCTGAATACGAAACACCGTACTGCGCAGGATCACGTGATAGTTCGACCGACCCTCATTGGGCGAGAGCCGCTTCGACGCCTCGGCGCGCGCGTCTTTTTCTGGGTCGGCTAGAAACCGACGCTCCCGCGAAAACGCGCACCCGCGCGCAGGAAATGACGTCAGTTTGACGCCAACGCGCCCGAATCGCGAGCGAAAACGCGCCATGCGGTCTGCGCTTTAGAACGCCAAGGTATAAACACCTTACCCTGGAGCAACGTTACTAAAACACTCAGGAAACTCGCCGGCGAAACCTGGGCCGCTGGCGTCCACCAAGACCGAGCTAAATACGGCAACAGCGCCGCCCTTTATCATTTGTCTGTACTGCGGTCACCGTGAGCTTTTAGAAAGCATGTTTTTGCGTAAAAACAAACGGAAAAGACTCTTTTTGTATTAAATTTATTGGAGTTTAGTACAGAATGAGGGGCGCGTGATGTTTTTAAAATCTTTAGTCTGCAGGGTTTTGCGGAAAAATTAATATTGTTTTTATACAACCATGCCTCAGCGGTGCTTTCAGGTA